CAGGACTTTTCCAAAACCACACATCCAAAATGAGGAGGGGCATCGAAGCACCACAGGCAGTGCTTCTTCAGAGCCATGTCACCAGCCTGTGGCACTCTCCATTTCTCAGGTCCTAAACTGGAAGCTCTCCTCTGGTTTCCCATATTGCATTGCCCTCGGGCCAACTCTCACTAAGCCCCACCCACAATCCCAAGCCTCCTCCCACTCTCAAATTTGTTTTTCAAGCCTTTCTCACACACAGGTCCAAGTGGCCGACCATGACATTTCCAATGATGAAACTCCATATTTATAAGGGATCAAACATTTAGACTTGTAAGTCCAAACCTTATTCTTAGACTATTAGCCACAAGCTAACCCTGAAAGGAGCAATCACACCGAAGGCTGACTAGGCTTTCTTTTCTAGAAAGAGAGAGAGAGAGAGAGAGAGAGAGAGAGAGAGAGAGAGAGAGAGAGAAAGAAAGAAAGAAAGAAAGAGCGAGCTGGGTATAGTGGCACTCGACTTTAATCTTAGCACTGGAGAGCCAGAGGCAGGTAGAACTCTATGAGTTCAAGGCCAGCTTAGTCTACAGAGTGAGTCCCTGGACAGCCAGAGCTACATAGTGAGACCCTGTCTCAAAAATTCAAAACAGCAATAATGACAACAACAGAATCATTTTGTGCACATGGGGGAAGGAAGTGTGACCCTTGAACTTGTTCTTAGAGAATAAGAAGGGTTTTTTTTCTTTCCACCATGTGGGTCTCAGGGATCAAACTCAGATTGTCAGGTTTGGTGACAGTTGTCTTTACGCTGTGAGCCACCTCACTAGCCCCCCAGACTGCCTTTCTTCCTCTAGAGCCAGCTTCATCCGTGCTCCCCACCAGGAGACTCCTCCGAGGCTCTCGTCACTTGTACAGGTGACCTAGTTTGTGATGGAACAAGCAAGAGGTCTCTGTCTTTCAACTGCTCTGCCTATATGTATCATATGGTGCTTCCTGGGCCCCGGTTACCCTCTCCCCAAGATGAGCCAGTCCATGGTACTGCATGTTCCTTTTGCTGTGGATGTTAGGTTCTGACAGGTGGGAGGTTGTGTGGACGTTAGGGTAAACTCACACTTGTGGAGCGCCAGGCTGAGGGACTCGTTTGACAGTGAGACCCACACTGTGGCTCTCTGTTTTACATTTGGAGAAACTGAGGCCCAGTGAGCTTAATTCACTTGTTCAAAGTTGCTGTTCCAATGTGGTATAAAATACGATCTCTAGACAGATATATCCTCAGGAAGGGCTCAGAGGGGCAGCAAATACTCAGAGTCTGTCACTTGGTTGCCAGCAGGTGTCAGCTATGGCTGAATCAAGGTTCATCCAGAATGAGCCCCAGTGTGCGGGGCGCGCGTAATGGTATCGCTGGCAAAAACATACACACACGCACACACACATACACACCAGAATCCTTCCGTAGAAACACTTTTATTTCCCTAAACCAAAATGGTGGTAAAAGAAAACCAAGAAGACCAAGAAAGCGTGGGAAAGCACTGCTTATATACCCCAGAGCGGGGTATTCACCCCCTGATTGGCTGCTTACTCGTAGCGCGCCAAACGCCGTGGGATGGGCTTAGCTTTGGCGGGCTTACCATGGCACATGCGCAGTTTACTTGGTACTAGGAAGAATTACGGGCGACAGTGCCACCTAGCGATGGCGGACTTTGTCAGCTCTCGTGGCGGCTCCCAACACCCCAGGATGGCTCTGTCACATGGCCTGGCAAGGCTGGCTGATGGCTGGCAGGTTCATGGGGCTTTTTTATGGCATCTCCAGCATGGAGTCTTCATGGAGATTTATTTTATTTATTTTTTATGTATGTGAGTATACTGCTGCTCGCTCTTCAGACACACCAGAAGAGGGTGTCAGATCCCATTACAGATGGTTGTGAGTCACCATGTGGTTGCTGGGAATTGAACTCAGGACCCCTGGAAGACCTCTAGAAGACATCTGTTCACCGCTGAGCCATCCCTTCAGCCCTTGTTTGCACATTTTAAAGAGCGGTCCAGTGGTCCTACTGAATCATCGGTGAGGTGGCATTTGACTGTCCAAAGGTCAGCTCAGGGTCTGCATGCTCCTGCAGAGGTTGCTTTCAATATTTAGTCTTGGACCTTCCTTTTGGGTCTCTGAGATTTCTTCCCTCATTCCAGACCAAGTTTGGTGACTTCTTGCAGCCCCCTCCCATGTGAATCCCTGGGTGAAATTGCCTCCGTGCTAGAAGCAGTGGAAAAGACACAAACTTTGGAACTGGGCTGCCACAGGCTCCAATCTCGTCCCTTTGTGATCTTAGGGACATTAGGTCCCCTCTGCAAGCCTCAGTTCTTTATAAAATGGGGGGGGGGAGAGAGAGAGACAGAGAGAGAGAGAGAGAGAATATGAGCAAAAAAAAAAATCCATCCTCCTCACACATGGAATGGTTCTGACAGTGATTAGAATGACACAGAAAATAAAGGCTCAGGAGAATTTGTCATCTTAGGGAGGTGGCCTTGAGGAGAGCCTTTACTGCCGAGGGAATACCCGAGAGCACAAGCCCTGTGGCTTTCTGGAGAGTATTTCTGGCAGAGGGAAGAGAAATTCCTCTGGGTCTGAAGCCAAGTGAGCCACAGGGATGTGAGGGAGTTGAGGACAGAGAGGTGGCTGAGCACACAGGCATCTATGGCATCTGGACTCCGACTCTGAATGAGATGAAAACCATGAGAAATTGGGACAGAGAAGTGGTCCATTTCTGAGTATATGTTGGGCATAGAGGACAGCAGTCACTGATGGACACACACACACTCAGAGAGAGAGAGAGAGAGAGAGAGAGAGAGAGAGAGAGAGAGAGAGAGAGAGAGAGAGAGAGAACTCTGAGATACATGGTGTCTGAATGACTAGAAAGAGTGAGACTCCCATTTACCAAGATGGGGTGGCTATGGGTAGAACATTCTCACATTTCTGTCACTCTCAAGGTCAGAGTCTGCTTCCTGGAAAGGGCATCAAGGGGACAGAATTGAGGGAATGGTCCAGGGACCTCTATCCCTGCATAATTCCCTTTGACTGTGTGGAACTAGGGAAAGAGAACACCGCCCTGATCAAGTTACAAGATGACATAAAGGATAAAGGAGGGGTACCCTTTGGGGGACAACCTAGTGGGGAGTTAGAGAGAGTGAAGGATGAGACGGTCATGCCAGTCCTGTGGTAGCTTTGAAGATGGAGAGCCCATGTGTAAGGGCCCCAGGACCATTTGCAGATGTTGAGATGCCAGCACTCGGACTTCAGTTCTACAGCCACTAGGACCCGAATCCTACTGGCACCTGAATGACCATGGAATCCGATTCTTCTCCAAAGCCAGCAGTAACAAGCCACACCTTGCTAATACTTTGTAACATTCTAAGCAGAGAACTCAGCTCAGCTGCACAGATTTACAATCTAGACAGATTGTATACTAATAAAAGTCTATTGCTTTTAAGCTATTTGGTTGGTCATGAAGCAACAGAAATACCCACAGCCATCTAAAATGGAGGGTTCCTGTTGTCATCCCTCGCGTGAGGAAATAGGTTTGTGAGATGGAGGGGCTCACTCTAGGCCACTTGGAAAGGAGGGACTGAACAGTCCTTTCCTGAGGCTATCTCAGAGGGCTGCTCCACGGGAGAGCAACTGGAAAGGGGAGCCACTTCTGCTGGTAGAGTGGGCCTCTGGTCATTCAGGTTTGGAGGGCAGAGGGGGGCTGCAGTTGAGCTTGTCTGGTTTACACCCAGGCTCTGATAATCTGTTCCTGTGGGTGTGATTCAGGGGACCCTCAGGATGTGTCTGAGAGTGTGTGCCAGTGTGAGCCTCCAGCAATGTCTCAGTATCTTGAGTCTGAGGGTGTCTGTGCATCAGAATGAATCCATCCCTGTGAGTGACTCAGTCTGTATGTCTGTGTCTATAGGTATGAGTGTTCTGAGGGTGACTGTCCCAGTTTTTGGGACAGATCACCCCAGGAAGATGGGTGCTAAGTGTCTGAGGTGGTCTAGAACTATGTTCTCTCTTTGTGAGAGACTTCCAGGACGTGTCTGCAAGCAAGTGTGGGTGCATTGTGTCTGTCCAAACTTCTGTAGGGTTTGTGGAATCTGAGGGTCTCCAATATACAGGAGGGCATGTCCCGCCCGCCAGTTGTTCCCTGTGACTCTGCAGGTCTCTGTGACCCTCTGAAGTTGCCAGTGGGTGTATCTGCCCCTATGTCTGTAAGAGTCACTGTGTATCTATACAGTGTCTGCGAAGGTATCTGTGAAGGTGTTTGTCCAGGTGACCCTCCATCCCCGAGTGTGAGGGAGTCTACGATCTCTCTTGCCCAGCGAATACATCCTCCTGGGTGCCTGTGTACTTGGCAGGTTTCTTGGATTTCTTGGACTGTGTCAGGGTATTTCTGGACGCCTCAGGGTATCTGAGTGAGGCCTGCATGAATCGGGGTTACTGGACACCTGCCTCTGGGGTGAGTCTGAGGACTCACAGTCACGGGTCCGAGCGGGAACCGGAGGTTCAGCCGCAGCAGCCGGGCGCAGACAGCCTTGCGGCGGGCTCGTGCACCTGCCCGGTTGGCGGCGGCGGCGCAGCCCGCACCCTCGCGGCTCCCACGCCCCGCCCGCGGCGCCCCCTCCCCCGGGCCTCGGCGATTGGCTGCGACGCTCGGCTCCGGCCCGCCCCTCGCGGCTGGCAGGCTGGGGACGCCGCGGGCCAGAGCGCGCTGCGCCGTCGCCGCCGCCGCCACCACCGCCACCACCGCTACCGCCACCGCCGCCACCCCCGCTACCGCCGCCGCCACCTCCACCGCCACCGCCGCGAGCACCGCGCGTCTCCCGCTCCACGCGCCGCCAGTGTCCGGCTCTCTGCGCCCCGCCGCCCATCCGCGGAGCCCCGGGCCGCCGCCACCACGCCGCGCGCCGTACTCCGCGTCAAGAATGGGGCGGCCAAGCTGCCCAAGCCGCCCGCCGCCGCCGCGGCCGAGGCTCCTGGCGCGGGCGCGGGCATGGAGCGCTCGCAGAGCCGCCTCAGCCTGTCCGCCTCCTTCGAGGCGCTCGCCATCTACTTCCCGTGCATGAACTCCTTCGATGATGAGGACGCAGGTGAGCGCGCTGCGGTCCACCCACCCCAGGGGGGTTGTCTCCTGGTCCAGAACGCCAGGGACCCTCGGGGACCCGGAGCGCCCGGGAGAGGTGGCCACTGTCTCCGCTTGCACTCTTGGTCCCACTCCGATAGATACCCAGGGGCCCCTCCCACTCCTTCAAGACCCCCGGGGTCTAGGAGGAGCTCTGGTCCTGTCCCCCCTCCTGCGCCCCAGGGACCCCTTGAGCATCTGCACTCATCCTTCTTGCGCAAGTGGGCCCTTGGGTCGCCTGGACCCAGGTCTCCCTGTTTATGTGAACCTACAGGATTCCTCTGCGACCCCTTAGGGCCCTGACTTGTTTCTCAACTGGACTTGCCACCACCCAAGTCTGGTATATGCCCCCAGTCAGATCTTGGGGTTTAGGCCGCTTCACCCCTGGGCTTCCAACGTGTCCCTGGTCATTGGAAGTGGTGTATAGACCTGACCTCTCCGGGCCTTTGTCTTAGCTGCATTCAGAGGCCCCCTGCGCAAGACCCCCTTGTTCTAAGGCCAAAGCCTGGAGTGTCCCGATTTGTTCTCCATTCCCTTCCCCCACAGGCTGGAGCTCCAGACTCTAATCAGATTGGGGCCCCCGCACAGAACTGGCCTAGTGTCTGCTGGCCTTTCCTCTTTCCTCCCCAGGGAGATGTAAGGCAGTATAAGTGCTAACTACACCAGCGCACCCTTCAGTGCGTGCCCCTGACTTCAGGTAATCTTGTGCCTGGAGTGGCCTTTCTGGGTGGGCTGAACCCAGCTGCCAACCTGCAACTCAAACCTTCTGCTTCTAGGCCTGGAAAACATACATACATACATACATACATACATACATACATACACACACACCCCACAGTTTAGCTGGTAGCCACAGCCCAGAAGTGGAGAGGAAGCCAGCTCATGGATACTGGGACCAGGCAGAGGGTACAGAAGCAGTGAGTTTGGTTTGGGGTAGCAATCTAACAACAGGTGGGGGTATCTAGAAGGTTTGGGTGAGAGCTCCCACAGAGTGCCAAGATGGGGAGTTAGAATCAGGTTCTAGTCTGTATTCCCTCCCTATAAGCTGTGACCTTGGACAAGTCATGCCAATCCCAGCCTCAGTTTCTTCATCAGAAAATGCAGATAATGCTGCCTCCGATGCAAGATTCTGTGTGGTGGGAGGGTGGAGTGAAATGGTCTTTGAACTGATAATTTGAGAGTATTTGAAGTCAATGAAGGGCGGGCGGGGAAGAGGAGTGTGTGTGTGTGTGTGTGTGTGTGTGTGTGTGTGTCTATAAAGAACTAGTGGGTTCAATATTGATTAAAATACAGATTATCTCTTAAGAGGAAAAAAAATCATTTATGCACTACCCCAAAACGTTACACTTCAGGGAATTCAAGAGTTCAGGTTTCAACTCCCTGCCTGCTGGCGTTTTCTCTTTGGGTTCTGTTATGCGATGGACTGGTGGGTAATGGGCTGTCACTTACAGTGGGTAACAGGAAGACAGATGGGTCAAGGAAAGTTCCCCAGAGCCAGGTGGTGAGGGAATGGTACCAGCTGAGGCCAACACCTGATAGAATTTTCTACTGACCTGGAGGTAGGAGTTAGGGGTTAAGATGGTTGTTACCCATCATCCAGCCTGTGGATTCACCTCACAGAGGAGGAGCTCAGCTTCTCCCTAGTAGATCTGAGGAGTGTTGTATTGTTATTCTAGACCTGGTGAGGTGGAATTGGGGCGGGATCCCTGATGCAGTGGCCTCTACTGCAGCTAACTCAGAGAGAGGAAATCAGGCTGGCTGTAGAGATGGGGGCCGGGGTGGGGTGGGTCTTGGAGCATCTGTGGAGAGAGAGCAGGCTTGGTGGCAGGGCCCTCTTTCAAAGTTCCCCAGGCCACTTACTTGTGTCTCAAGAGACCAGCTGGTCAGGAGGGCAAGGAACACAGGGGTGTAGGAGCATCTGAGCCAGGCACTGTTTGCTTTTTCTCCAATGTCATGCTGCATGTTGCGGGTTGGATACCTTGACTCTTATTGTCAGACCTGCTAGTTTCAGTTGAGTCCAAGACAACTTCATTGATACTATTAACAGGATTTCCTAAACATCAGTCTGATTTCTGTTTCTAAGCAAGTTTCTTCAGATTCTTGTGTTTCACTTGTAAGAGACCTAGAGATCACTTTCTTCAGCCCTCCTACGTCCCAAATCCATGGGGTGGGGATTGTGTATCTGTGGATGTGTGTATAAAATGACTGGAGCCCTTGGTGTATGGTGTGTATTTGTCTATGTGTGTGTATGTGTAAGCCAAGGTCATCTGGTGTCTCCTGCACAAAGCTGAGAGCAGAATCAGGATTTGGACTCCCTTCAGGACACCAGTGGCTTCTCTTGCTGGAGGAGGATTTTTAAAAAGCCAGATCTCAGTGAGCAGAAAATGGTTCCCAGGTGAGGAGGCCTTGGGGAGCATTTGGCAGCCCAGGGCTCTGTTTGGACATCTCAGGCTCCCTCTCTTCTTATCCCTGTGGCTCCCTGGAGCTTGGGAGGTACAGGGAGAAAGGCTACTTCCATACCCAGAAGAATGATGAAGAGCTGGTAGAAGTTGGCAGTAAGGACCATTGACTGGATCTTTCATTTCTCTTGGTCATCTCATTCATTTTCTCCTAAAAGAAACCTTTTGGGTTTATTTCCTTTAAAACAGCAATGAGCTGAAGTAATTTCTAAAGGCAGCAAAATAGGGTCTAGGGTCTTGTGGAGGGATTGGGCTAGCCTGAGGTAGTCAGCACAGACTTGGCTCCTCTGGCCTCCTCCCCTCTCCTGCCGGCCCCTTCTTCACTCTGTCCTTGGCGGCTCCATTTCTGAAGTGCATTCCTGACAGGCTTCAGGCTCACACGAGAGCCTTCCCTTTAGTTGCTGCTTCCAGCTCGTATCCACACATCTCTCTCCATCCATTGGCTTAGGCCAGAGCCATCTTCAAGGCTCTCCTGCTGTCTCCAGCTAGCTTCCTGAGTCATAGGCTGAGGAGGAGACTTCTCGTTATCTTTAAATGGGGCAGAGCAGATCTCTGCTTTGGACTTAGGAGTGTCAGGCAGTGGGGTAGGAAGAAGAGGCTGCCTTCTCTTCCTCTGTCTTTCTAGGGTCCTGGAGCCCTAGGAAAGGATCACTGCAGGTTGCTACAATGCCTGTCAGGAGGAATCTTCCCTCAGATGTTCTGGATACCTCTCAGCTGTTGCTAGTGCTTTGCCTTGTTCCCAAGGACGCTGGGGCTTTAGAGAGACAGGCACTCAGGGACACTTGGATATTTGTGGCCATGTCTTCGTTGCTCAGCCTTACTGGCCATGGGTTTGCAGCTGGGGGGAGGGGCCAGACACGTGACCCTGTTTTCCTCACCTATAGGAGGAGGAAACATAACAGTGCTCCCAGTAGACTCCATTGGGTCAATGCTTTAAACGTTATTACCACGCACTGCATGTCTTTGTAGGTATTTAAAAATGCATTATTTTATTCTTTCCTCATAACATTCGCCATAAAATTAATATCCTGTATAACATTCTCATTTTCAGATAAGAAAACTGAGGTTTAGGCAGAGTAATTCCTTCAAGGTCGCTTAACCTGGAAGTGAGGGAGTTAGGGTTTAAATTCGGACAGATCGAGTCAAGCACACTTGCCTTTAATTATGATGCTTGCTATGCAAAGTCTTAGCACGGTACATAGCTAGTTATACATACTAGTTCATATGTGCTCAATACATGCTAGTTCCGGTCTGTCTTATTAACAAGTGAGAGTTGTCTCTGAGCATGGCCATAAAGAAGACTCCTGTGCATTTGGGCAAAGAAAATCCCTGGTTCTCAGGATGTTAACTGCCGTCATTTTAATAGGCTAATTTTATTGTGTGGTAGTTTATAGAGGTAGAGCTGGGCCCTCTTTCTTTGAAGTGCTTAAAAGGTGGGTATTTCAGGGAATTAAAGGTTGGGAAGCTGTCTTGCTTCCTCTTCTTTTTAATCAGTTTATTTGTAACACATCAACAGGCCAGTTCTCTGGGTGTACATGGGGAGCAGGGGCGTATCCCCTTTCTAGTAGATACCAAAAGCATTTGTTACATCAGGGTCTGGACCTTAGGCGAGTGTTCCTGAGCCTGGCCAAGTGATTTGGCGGCTAGTTCTACCCCTCCCGCCCTGGAGAAGGGCGGAGAAGCTGGAGCAACCGGCTCTGATTTGCCCATAGGATGGATGCTTCGATCCAGCTCAGGGAGGAAGTTACCATGGCAACACCAGCCAGCTACCAGTCCCTTTCCTAGCAGTTTAGGCCACATCTCTGGGCTGGAAAGCTCTTCATGGCACCTCCCTCTTCCGCTCAGACCAAATCTTCTTGAGGGGAGCATGGTGGGTGGGATCCGCAACTGGTACCACAGCCCTCATCCCCACCCCCGGTTTTGAACAGAGGGGAAATGGAGGTGGTTGTTTGAGCTACTTTAAGGATGTGAAGCGACCCATTTCCTGCCAGACTGATCTTGGCAGGGGGAATCAGGGTTTCAGTTCCTGCCAGCACCCCCCAGGCACCTGGAATGACCACACTGAAATCTCACCCTCCCTCCTAAATTTGCAGGATTTGGCCGAGTTTTCTTTCCCAGGCCAAGTACTAACTTTTGTCCTTGAAATTTGACCTGAGCTTCATTTGGGGAACAAAATGTCCTGCTGCCCCACTCCTTCCCCCAGAAATTGTAGGAACAGAGTGAGTCCTTCAGCTCCAGAAATGGGGTGGGGGGGCTGGGCTGTGTGCATGATGCAGGGAGGCCCTGGTATATCATATCTTCATTTTGGGTCTACATTAAAGCAGGAGTCTAGGCTCTAGAGCCTCCTCGCTCTCCCTCACCTCAGGGGAGGCCACTTCCTGTGCCCTTGTCTTCTCTGCTGTCTATTACCCTCACACACCCTCCCATCTCCAACGTTAACCACTTAGAATTCTAATCTCCTTTGCTTTTAAGAAAGGGCCTCACAAAGTAGCCCTAGCTGGCCAGGCAT